TCGTGCCCCGCGGCGGGGATGCGGGGACGCAGTGACCCAGTTCGTGCTCTGTGGCCGAGATGCAGGGATGCAGTGACCCAGTTTGTGCCCTGTGGCCGGGGCGCGGGGACACAGCAGCCTTCGAGGTGCATCAGCTCGACCGGCACTCGGCACGGCCCTGTGCGGCTCGGTCTTCTGTGTCCCGCGTTGCGCGTGGACAAAGGGAAGCTTGCTCGGTTGCTGGGTGGCGGAGCTGCTGTTCTGTCCAGATCTGTCTGGCTTGGAGGCAGCTGCTTGTTTTCTCCGGCCTGTCCTGTTCTTGTCAAGTCCGCGACACACTCGAGCCCATTGATCTCAGAGTCCTAACACGTGGCTGTGTGTTGCACTTATTTCTGGCAGGACATAAATACTGAAAAAGCTGTTTTGTGAGCGGTCGCGGAGCATGTAGTGAAAGCAGATGTTCTCTTCTGGTGCTGCCTGTGCTGACGGATCGGGTGTGACTGAGACCAGAAAGGGCCGCAGAGACCGTGGCCAGTGGACGGCAGGACAGAACACGGTAGCTTAAGTCACACAATTAATGTGCGTTTGGGGCAACCCTTTCTCCATGAACCCTCTGCCCCCACCTGCACCACTGTGTCTTCATATTGGAATACTTTTCATACACATGGAACTCAGGAGTAATTTTATCTCCTACTGGCACTAAAAGGAGAGACTTGAGTCCAGCAGTTTGTTTCTTGAAACATTTTCTAGTTAAAAACAATTTGTGTAGTAATTAATCGGGGAACAATGTATCTAGAGCAACTTCTTACTCGATTATTGTAATTCTTTGTGGTAAAGCAGCCCCCAGCCGCACCCCGCAGGAGGAAAGGGGAGGCTGGAGGGGGTGAGTGCCAAGATGTACGGTGGACATCCACGTCAGCACGGGTGCTGTTCCTGGTGTTGTCTTAATTCTCAAACACCCAAAAGTGACTCTCTTTGCGGCGGCTGAATCATCTCCACGTCCGTCTTCGTTCCCTGGGACTTGCGTGTTCCGCAGGGACCCTGGCTGCTTTCAGCTTCCAGAGGGCCTTCCGGACCGGCTTCCGAGAGCTCTTCTGGATTGAGCTAGATCTATCAGCACGTGCCTGAGCTTGACCCACATCCCAGAATTCCTCTGGGCCCGTTGCATCATCTGGCCTTTCACCAGCGCTCCTGGGTCTGCCGGTCCTGCTCCAGGCACTGAACTCACAAGATCCCGGACCTCGGGAGCCCATTCTAAGAGGGAAAGGGAGTGAGGACAGGGCATGGTGGTAAGCAGTTGAAAGAAAAAAAACAAAACACAAATCCACCAACAGGAGGGGATTCCTTGTATCTTTCAGTGTTCCCCAGTTGCTTTTGACAAATGTTGTGTCCTCTTGCCAGGAAAGACAACGCTGTCTCACATGACACACCTCACTGGTGTTTGAGCATCTCAGCTTGTTCCGTGTTCTCTCTCGTCTCTGTTTTCTCTCTTCTCTTTCTTTTCCACTCGCCTGGTGGACCAGTGGCCTGTTGCCATGTAACAGACCACCCCAAAACCCCAGAACACGGTGGCTTCAAGCAGCCACCGTGTTGTATTTGGTTCCCGGTTCTGTAGGTCGGTTGGGCAGATCTGGCCGGGAGAGTGCAGCCGTGTCCGCCGGCTCACCCACACACCCGCAGTCAGCTGGGCCGTCCGCAGTGGTCTTGGTCACGGTCTGTTCAGGGACAGGCTGTGGGCCCGAGAGGCAGCCCCGGGGTATTGTTCTATGATCCACTTTCCACTGCAGGCATGCGTGCTACAGCCCCGACAGCCGACGTGTCCCTTCTGGAGCGCTTGGAGGACCTGCGCTCCTCGGGAGCCCCCGGGGCACATTAGAGGAGGCAGGCTCGGGGGCTCCTAGGTGGGCATACACTTGTTCAGTTGAAACTACAGGCGTCTGGCGACTGAGCTTAGGATTCCAGAGGTGAAAGTTTAAGCACAGTATTGGACTTCCCAGGAGAGTTTCCTGGATTGGGAGAAAAGTTGACTTTGGGTTATATTGAACTTGTCTTTTGCAGTCAGAGCTGTTGTGTTATTGTTGTTTGTAACTTCAGAACCTCTGGGTCGGAAGGGAGGGACGATAAGGGTTGTGAAATGCAGGCACCATCTGGTGTTTCAGACTCCGGCCTCTGCTCGACATCCTCCGCCGGAGCCAGAGGGACTCCCTGTGCCCTGTTCTGCGCCCCTGCCCCCGCCCCGCGCCTTCCCTGGCTGCCCTGCCTGGGACTCTGGAGCCCCCTTCCTCATGCTGAGGCCAAAGGGAGGACTTCTACACTAGTCCACACAGAGTTTTCTTCACATTGCTTCAGTCATAGCCTTTTGGTTTTTTATTTTAAAACAGAAAAATAGCTGCATGGTCTTAGATGTCAGTGAAGCAATATCTTTGTTATGACAGGATCGGACCGAAAGGGATATACTCTAAGTAGGCACATGAGAGAGTATTTGAAATGTTTTTAAGCACCTGTTTGTACAAAGTGACTGGTTCAGACTGGGCATATCTTTGAGTGATACCCAGGATGCTGGTTTCATACTGGCATTAGTCTGAGGCTCATGATTTCAGGACGTCTTGGGTTGGGATAAGTGCCCATCTTATCCATCAGTTCCAAGGGCTGAGGGATTTTGTGGCAGGTATTGAGGTAAGGGTAATTCCTAAGGAGGAACATTCTGCTGTATAGAAATCCCCAAACAGATAAAGAAGTAGATGGCATAAGGTAACGTGCCCCCAGGCACCAACAGTCCCCAGCCTTGTTTTAGGGTCTGCCCTGGACACGCTGTTCCTAAGAGGTCTCCTCGAAGACATCCAAAAGGAAGAACTCATGACTCTGGAACCCTAATGTTACCTCTTCAATGATTGCTTCTGCACCTGCCCCTGGAGGGACCCCCGGTTTTCCCAAACCCCTAATTGTCCTTCTCTCCTCCAGGGCCCAGTCATATATGCGCAGTTAGACCACTCTGGCGGACATCACAGTGACAAGATTAACAAGTCAGAGTCTGTGGTGTATGCGGACATCCGGAAAAATTAAGAGAAGACCCAGAACATATCCTAAGCAAGAAATAAATGAAACAGGACGCTTGTGCAGAAAATGGAGCCCATAACCCCATGTGGCCTGGGAGAGCCGGGCAAGGACGAGCACATGTTTATTCACGGGAGGAGAAAAAGACTGTATAAAGGATATGTATAAACATTCTATTTAATCTGATACGGGGAGCCAGTGCTGCATGACGAAAAGATGCTATGATTCTACGTATATATGAACTGCCTTGCTGTTCTGTGCTGTCTTCCAGGGTCATTTACAGTTGGGGAAAGTCTGAAACATTCCTGTAGCTGTCATTTACGTGCGGTTTGCCTTCGTGGAGACGGTAGCAGATCCTTAGTGTTCCAGTAGACGTGGCCCTGTGGTCTAAGGGCTTAGCCAGTCTTAGCATTTATCGTGGTCGGAGAGTGGAGACACTGACCAGTGTCGGCACCCTGCTGGGCTGCAGGAGCTGGAAAGCCTCGACTCGCATGCCCCTTGGACACAGCTTGAGAAGTCTTTGTTGGTGTTTTTCTCTCCAGAATACAGGGCGGTTTTTCGCTTTGTATGTTGTGAGACCGGCTTTCATGTTAGATCCTCTCAGTTCATGGATCTGGTACAGCGAGACCAGCAAAGGGTAAATGCCAAGGCCACTACTTCCTAGATGCTTTCAGATCAATACCATAAACACCATTGACATAGGAAGCCCAGGCCTTGCTTGAGGAGTGGGTACCATCTGGAGAGTAAGAAGTACCACTTAACATTCTTTGCCCAAGTCCTTCCTGCTTGAAGTAAGGGTCTCCGTCCAGCTGAAGGAGAGGAGTTTCCTTTCCTTTTAAGTAGGCACAAATGGGGTCATTACAAAGCCAGTCTGCGGCACCCGGAGCTGTCATGAGACGATCCTCTTTGGAAAAGCTTCCGGCATGACTCCAGCGAGAGGTGGCATCAGTCATAGCTCTGTGATAGCTTCCCAGTGTCTCAAGAGGCTGAAGATAGTCTAGACTTTTGTGAATCAGTGGGTAGGGTTATTAGCACTTCTACTCTGGGGTTCCCTTCTCTGTCACTGTTTTGAAGTTTGGGGTGGGGTTTTTGGGGGGTTTTTCTTTTTCTGATTTTTACTCCACCCCCTACGTCCCCCAGTACGTGGAATCGATTAAAACTGAGAGCTCAGCACCCGCTCTAGCAACGGCCCCCGGCCCCCTTTCCGCCCACCCAGACCCCTGGCCCTGGTAGCAGGCGCCTCCTAGCCCTTCCTCGTGTGTCCCGGTGTGCCTGTGCCTGCCATAGATGACAACGTTGGGGTTGCTCTCAGCTGGCAGAGCTGCCCTTCCTGTGCCTTGTTAGTGGCAGGACGAGACCTTTTAACATTCCATGTGATCAGGGGACACCCAGAAGGCATTTCTTAAGAGATGAAAATCCCAGACCACCTCTTGGTTTTCAGTGAAATGTATCCAGCTCGGGAAAACCCATCTAGTTCATTATTATTTTTTGTTTATTCCTTCTTCAGAATTGTTGTACTTTTGTGAATATCTTAATACATCTTTTTCAATTATTGAATCATGTCATGTCTTCCTTCTTTACCATTCGTCCCCCTCGGGCCGCACTGGGCTCCTCACTCTTCAGGAGCACCACGCACTGCGGGCTTCAGGCCCTGTGCACCTGCCGTCCCCTCGGCCTGGAGCTTGCACTTGGTGCCTGTCTGGGTGGCTTGCTCCCCCACTTCCTGTAAGCGTCCGCTCCCCTCAGAGAGACCTTCGGCCACACGTAGAACAGCCGCCTCACCCCTCGGCCGGCTCCGCGGCCTCCTCGGTCCCACTGCCGTGTGCTCGGCCGGCTCTGCCCGTGGGAGCACGAGCCCCAGAGCACGGCTCCGGCTCACGGCTTCATCTTCAGGGCACAGACCAGGGGGACGCTGTTCCTTCAGCACGTTTAGAATGAGAATGGTCCTGCCCCAGGGGCTGTGCCGAGCTCGGGAAACTGAAATGCGGAAGCCAAGCCCCAGGCCCTTGCCACAGAGCAGGCGTAACGGAGCATGACGGCGCCAGCCAGCACCGACTGAGCGCTCGTTGTGGGCCCGGCACTCGGCATTTCTCACTCTGCGTCGCACGGCGCACACGCTGCTCGGACAACGCTTCACCCCACTTGTGGAAAGCGTGTCATGCTTGCGGGGTAGACCTTGCTGGAGGTCACTCAGCGAATAATGTCCAGAGAGGCAGGACTGGGCTTGTTCGGAAACACTGCCCTGTGGCCTAGGTCACCAAGATAAGCAAATAAATACAAGAACTTCTTTATTCGAATCAGTGTGCCGTGTGCCTGAAAGGCAGTCCTCGTGTTCAGGAGGAGCTCAGTGGGGCTGACGTGAGGGCGGTGTCGTACAGACACAGGGACCAGGGGCCACACTCAGTTTGGAAGACAAATACGGTGACAGTCTGTTGAGAGCTGTGTCACAGGTAATGAGGGTGCCTGGGGGGCTCAGTTGCTGGGTGTCTGCCTTGGGCTCAGGTCCCGGTCCCAGGGTCCTGGGATCGAGCGCTGCGTCGGGCTCTCTGCTGGGCGGGGAGCCTGCTTCCTCCTCTCTGCCTGCCTCTGCTTGTGCTCTGTCTGTCATATAAATAAATAAAATCTTTAAAAAAACAAAACAAAACGCTGTAATATCTTATAAGCCATGATGTTTTCTAGGGATTTATTAACTTGCTAAAATTACTGCAGACGCACAGGCGGCTGGCCTTCACGCTCTCCGGAGGGGGAGAGGGTGGGGGCTCAGGCCAGCCCGTGGGAGAGGGTCTCACGGGAATGCAGCGATCACGTGATGCGGCGCCAGGAAGAGAGACCCTCCTTCAGCACACAGAGGTAGAGTACCGGGAACTGGGTCCGGGGGAGTTTCTCCCACTGGGGCTCTGGTTTCCAGGCTGCACGGGCATGCGCCAACCAAATACACACTCGTGATTGCTGAGGCGGCCCCAGCCCGCCGGGCGGGCTTGGCAGTATTTAAGTGGAAACCTCAGATTCTCTCTTCCCCGACTCCTCGAGGCTCCCTCCACATCCTTCTGGGTGACTGCGGTGCTGGCCCAGTTGGGGTGAGGAACCGATGACTTAATCCTCTCCCAAGTGCCTGGGACAGCCGGGGGAGCGCTCTTGCCGGGGAGGAAAGTGGCACTTGTCGTGGGTGGAGGTGAGGCAAGGCACTGACCGTGCTTCTATGACAGGTTCCCGCACACACGTTCTCCCTGTGTATTCACGTTTTCTGTGAAGGATTTCAAACTGGCACGAGAGGGGAGGGTAAAACCCACTTCCACACATCCGCCTCAGTGACGCTTCAGCCGCCCCTTTCTCCTTCCTCTTTTCTGAATTATTTGAAAACAAATCCCAAAACATGTCAGTTTACCTGACGTTCTTTGGTCATGTTTAAAAATACGTAAATTTTGTTACATAACTGTAATGTCTTATTACATTTAACAGAAACTTTTTTTTTAATTTATTTAAGAGAGCAGGGGGGCGGGTAGAGGAAGAGCTCTGAGCCAGACGCGGGCTTGATCCCATGACCCAGAGATCAAGATCTTAGCGGACACCAAGAGCCCTGATGCCCACTGACAAAGCACCCCAGGCACCCCTAACAGAAACGTGTTAAGAAAAACCACACATTTAAAAAAAAAGAAAAGAAATCTTGCCATTTGCAACGACGTGGATGGCACTAGAGGGTGTTATGCTGACAGAAGTCAATCGGAGAAAGACAAATATATGATCTCTCTGATATGAGGAAGTTGAGAAACAAGACAGGATCATGGGGGAAGAGAAGAAAAAATCAAACCGGACGAAACCAGGAGACAAACCATAAAAGACTTAATCAAACAGGTTTGCTGGCTGGGGAGGGGGTGACTGGGGATGGACACTAAGGAGAGCACGCGTTGTGATTGTGTACGACTGATGAATCACCAGCCTGTACTTCCGTAACCAGTCATTGTATGTTAGTTAAATTAAAATTTAAAAAGCACATTTAAACAATTCTTTGACTATAGGAGTGCCTGGGTGGCTCAGTCGGTTAAGCGTCTGCCTTCCGCTCAGGTCATGATCCCAGGGTCCTGGGATCAGCGGGGGGCCTGCGTGTCCCTCTCCCTGGGCCCCTGCTTGTGCTCTCGCTCTCGTTCTCGCTCACTCTCAAAAAAAAATCAGTCTTTAAAAATAATGACAAGAATTCCTTAATATCATCTAAAACCTGTTCATATTCAAATTTCCCCTTGTCTCAAAAATGGCATTTTACAAATGGTTTCTTCGGATCAGGACCCATCCAAACACGGCTCCAGTGATGACGTCGTGCCTGTCTCCGAAACAAAGACAGGACCACAGGCCTCTGCGGTTTGTTTCCTTCCCTCAGCGCGGTTTGGAGCAGCCTCTGTGCAAGCACGGAAAGCACCAGGCCCTCAGCCGGTAACACCTAGGGGGCCTGCTCTCGGGTCGATGCACCATATTGGAAACCATTTCTGACTTCCTGGCTTTTGTTCTAGTTGTCTTCTGTCGACCCAAATGGTCCTGTAAGCGTCACTTGCTCTCGGGACTGAAGAATTTGCAGCCCGGGGCAGCGGCACGGGATGAGACAAGCCGCCTTGGAAAGGGAGTGGGAGGGGTGGATGGTGGTGGCCTTCTAGCTCCCTTCGGGCTCCCCGTCCCCACCACATCCTTCTGAAGGCCCCGCGGCTGGCGGAAGGGCCACGGACTGGACTGTAAGAACAATGGGGGGGAGGGGGCAGAAGGCCGGCGGAGGCCCCTGCACCTGCAGGCCCTGGCCGTGCTCACAAGGACGGAAATGAAAACCTTTCAAGCCCCTGAGGAGCTGCTGCTTCCCGCTTCCCTTTCCTCCTGCAGACAGGGTGTGGACCATTGTCCCTTCTTGGCTCAGGTTCGGGTTGGGTCGTCCGTCATTCCTTTGCGGGGAGCCTTGTGGCCCCGGCCTGCAGGGCTCCTGAGCATGAAGAGGAAGGGCTGGTTCTTTTCTTTCTTTTTTTTTTTTCATGTCCACAGTTGGGACAAGGAAGTCTGGCGGGTTCTGCTACGTCTGCTTCCGAGCCCTGCCCTCCAGTGCTGCGTGGCGGACACACAGGGTCT